GGAAGGAAGGAAGGAAGGAAGGAAGGAAGGAAGGAAGGAAGGAAGGAAGGAAGGAAGGAAGGAAGGAAGGAAGGAAGGACCTGCATGATCTGACTATATGTGCTCTTTTTTTTACCCCATATCATCAACAAAGCTGTCTAAAACAATTCCCTCACCTACAAGTTTTCTAGCTACTGTCAACAATAGGGGAAAATATGCAAGAGTTAAGAAAGAAAGAAAAAGAGAAGAGAATGTGGACATCTGCATCTGCTGTTAAGAAGGCTGATAGTTCAAGTCTTGTTGAGATCCAACTGAAGGGAGTAGAGGGTCCTGAAGTCACCCATCAGTGGTTAGCATCAGGATGGTCAAGTGATGACAACACAGAGAGCTCAGAGCTTTCCCTAATTTCATAGATATATCAAATCTCTATTTAAATTATAGTAATGCTGGCAGGCATGCTCTATACATATAATTTAGCTTCAGGCACATTTCATGCATCTTTGTATTTGATGAGTCATTTCTTCATTTTTGAAGTTACTTAACTTGAGGGAAAGTGAGAAGATTGGAGAAGAAGCCAGAAAAGATTTAGCAGAGGAGGGGCTGGAAGCAAAACAGAATGAAAAGTGTAAAACAAGCACCTTCCCATTCTGTGGAACTTTCTTAAATTTCTAAATAGGTTAAGGTGATTCAGGAAGTAATCTGAGTAGATTTTCTTGCAGGGCTTTGACCTTCTCTTAATACAATTTATCTCATGGCTTAAGAACACTGGGCCTTCCCTCACCAGGTTTCTTTAGCTCCCATTATGCTCAGCCAAAATGAACTTTGTTGTCTGGGAATTGCTAGAACTGAAGTCCAACATACCTAGAACACAACTTGTGGGGAAAAGCCAGGACAGTCATGATTTCAAACATGTAAGTGAAGAAGGCGCAGCTGATGAAGGAAGATGGATTGGATACTGTGGCTTGCATGAGACAACTTTCAAAGCTGCCTTTCAAATATTACCTTGGCTAATTTAGCAAGAATTATGAAGTAGATTCATATTTAAATTAGGTTTAAATTAGATTTAGATTTAAAACCTGCTTATCATTGTGCTGTGGCTCTAATATCTATATGACATTCAGAGCCCCCCCCCCCCATTTTGTTTTTCCTCACCAGTATTCATTCAATTTGATGAAAGGTTTCAATTCAGTTTGATGCTTTCCAAATTAATTCCAACCGAGAAGAGAGTTTCAGTGAAATTCTTATGGGTCAGCTCTAAAACTCTTACACTTATTGACTTAAAAGATGGTTAAGAGTTGTGTGTGGATCTTCTTTCTTTTTTCATGCAGTCTTCTGTCCAGTGGTCTGCAGGTTTCCTTACTTCCCACACTTCTATTCAATTTCAACAAAGTCACCATACAGGAACTTTTCCCACTGGCATTTTTCAAACTGGAGAGTCCGGGCAGACAGAGAGGTTTCAGAGTCACGGGACAAAGTGTGAGAGAAAACAAGAACCTGCAATAACCTCTTCTACCATGTCCACCAAAGAAGTCAGCTCAAAATCGACAAGAGAAATTTGAGGGAAAAGGGGGGGGGGGGGGGGGGGGGGGGGAGAGACAGGATCTGAAGAAATGTGAGGACTTGCAAGGTAGATTCTGGGCAGCAAGTTAAATTGATATTGTTTCCTGGTCAAGAGTTAAGTAAAGCAAACCTAAGTGAAGACTAATATGGCACTTCTAAAGATCTGACGGCACATGGAAGTGTTTCCATTTTCCTTTCATTAGTTTCAACCCAAGAGATTTATAGGTGAGAGGTAGAATCCTGCAGCCTTTGGAGAAATGAAAAGTCCTTGGCTCTTTTAGCTCAAAAGCCACCTCTGACTTCTCCCCACTTCCAAATTGCCCATAACCATGGCTATACCAGGGGCCAGTATGGCAAATGTATTGGTGGACTCCTTTTTCAAGGCAAGGGTCCCTTTTACCCATTCTGCTCCTCTGTGGCCAATGGATTTGATTGATTGATTGATTGATTGATTGTGTACAATCAAGTCAGTGTTGGTCTTTGTGACCATAGAGATGGATTTCCTCCCAGATGATCTGTCCCTAACCTGGTCTTTCAGGTCTTCCAATAGCACAGTTCCTCTGTAAGAGCACCTGCCCTCTGGAATGAGGTTCCTCCCAAGAGTCAAACAGCCCTCACCCTACTGGTATTTTGAAGGGCCCTGAAGACATGGCTCTTCATCCAGGCCTTCAGTGAGGACACTCTTTTTCTTCCTTTTTCTTGTTCCCATCTGGATTTGTTTTCTTTGCCATCTTTGTTCCTTTGTTTTGTATTGTTTTGTGTTTCTTGTATTGTTATTGGTTTTAAAATGTTTTAACAATCTGTAATCTCCCCAAGGTCTCTGGGAGTTTGGTGGCATACACATTTAATTAATAATTATAATTATAATAATTATAATTACACTCAACACCACTGTAACTGTATCCATTCACCTTGCTGTTGGTCTTCCTTTTCTTGTCTTTCCTTCTACCTTTCCCAGCATTCCCCAGAAAGCTGGGTCTTCGCATAATGTGTCCGAAGTAGGATAATTTGAGCCTGGTCCTTTGTGCCTTTAGTTAGAACTCTGGGTTGATTTGGGAGGGAGGGATTTGATAGTTAGGTTTATTCTGTACAGGGTTAAACTTCAACTTTTTCATGGGCTAGATAGATTGTTTCATCCTTGTATGTTCTTTTCCAAAAGCACAATATTATCCAATCAATAATCCTTGCTTAAATTTGTTTGAAGGATTGCAAGGACCAAGAGGAATCCTTGGTCCTCCAGGGAAGATGGGGCCAGCAGGACCGAAAGGATCTCAAGGGAATGATGGATCAAAAGGAGATATTGGAGAAATGGGTAAGATGCATCTCAGACCACATTTATTGTTTCCAGTTTTTCAAAATACAGTGTACAACTTCTGTACTGTGTGATTGCACCTATCAATAGTCACGTTATTCTAACAGAAAATTCTTACTGATACTATTTTTACCCTTCTCTCATTAGGGAGCCATGTCCCTAGAGGGCACATGGAACATTGTCCTTCTTATGCATCTCAGAAAGATAACAAAGCTCTCCAAGACATTTTGCCTCCCAACAGAGTATCAGGTAGTCCACCACTTCAGAAACAGAAATAGGAATGAAGGCTCCAACCTGAGCACACGTTATTCGTTGCTGAATGGCCTTTTTCACTATCAGTTCTACTCTGCTGCTGTAGAATGCTATAATGTGCTCATCTGTGTTTAGTGTTAAGGGAATCGAAGTCTTGATGTTTAAGAAGGGAGCACTACAGGTTTTATGGTCCTTCCAAGCTGCACATCCAGGAGAAACATGGTACATACTCAAATGGGCAGCAAGGCAATTATCTATATGAGCATATCATCTCGCTGCCCATTTCTGTATGTGCCAAGCTCTCCTGGACGTGCAACTTGGATAGACCGCAGTGCTTCCTTCTTAAACATCAAATATAAATAAAAAGGAATTTGTTCTGTGGTTTTTGCTCAGTGCAACACATGGAGGTGGAGAGCAGCATTTATAATTATTTATTTGAAGGGATACAGCCTGCCTAAATGTCTGCATAGAAAGACCAAAGTGAGTATCAATATAAGTGGAACATGAGCAGGATAAATGAATATCCTAGTTCTGAGTGGTTTATGGCTTGTCAGGATAATTTGTTCCCTAAATGACAAATGGGTCCCAAACTGATATCGTTAATTAACTGCTAGCCTGTAGAAAAGTGTGGAATTGATAACTGAAAAGATGTGTTTCATTTCTTCCTTATCTGCCCCTGAAACTTAGTTCATCATAAAAGAAATGTGTGAATACATTCTTTTGAGCTAAACAGCAATGCCTTTTGCTTATAAACTGTGACTGGGCTTTCTATTTTGATCTGCACATGTTCACTTCACTTTTCCTAAGCCTGCTAAATATTTTAATCCAGATCTGAACTTGCCCTGTATAGCAACCCTTCTTTTGGAGGCATGATGAGATCAGCTGATGGCCCATTCCTACAAACTAAACATTCAGCTTATATTTTCAAATAATTTAAATATTAATTAAATAAATAATTGCCATGAATGAAAAATGAACAACAGTGTTTTGGTCAGATCAGTTCAAAAGTCAAATAATGATTGAATTGATTTCAAAATCCTAGCTGAGTTGATTTTCTAAATTGAATTGCAAAGCTAACTTGGATTGAAAGTGATTTGGATTCTCTTGTGCAAGATGTTGGGCCAGTTTGAGAGGGAGGCTCAGAATGGTCAAGATGGTAGCTGAGAGCACATTAAAAAGGGGCAGAGCATCAATCACAGTTGTGGCTGCCACCTTGAGGCTTTTTGACATTCCCCCGCCCTCTGGATGCCCCCACTGACATGTACCATTGAGTTATCTGATCAAGGCTTACTGACAATCAGCTTCATTGCCCAGAGATATGTCTGGTCCAGATCTCCAATATTGTAGTTTACCTGTCAACTTACAGATTCAAGAAGACTCAGTTCTGTTCCCCACAGCTCCTGGTTGACTGCAATGGATCGTTGTAAGCCTGTTCTCCTTGGATCTTCCCTCTCTCTCTCTCTCTCTCTCTGCTCACATTTGATCTCATTTGATCAGGACCACGTGGGATTCGAGGTTTGCAGGGTCCTCCTGGAAATGTGGGCCCTTCTGGAGCAAAAGGCGGCAGTGGCCCACAGGGTGAAAAAGGTGTCAAAGGAGAAATAGGTAAGCTTGTTTAATTGAGATTAACTCCCTCTACTTATACTAGGGAATTCAATTAAAAATAATTATCAAAGAATAATGTAACAGATTGTTCAATGGATCGATGGGGTTGTATTCTTCAAACAGCAATTAAGAGATCATTTATAGTCCATTTGTAATGCCCCAAAGGGATCTGCTGTTCAATCACCATAAGGAGATCAGAAAGATCAGTGAGTTTATCTAAGCTTCTGAGCATGGTCAAAGCAGTTTTCATAATTCTAGGTCTTGCGTATTTCAACCCTTTTTTAGGTAATTAATAATATGTTTTAAATTTAGAAGAATCGGGAAAGGAGAAAGGGATCCTAAAATGGTCAGACATTTGAAGTTTACTGTTCTTGCTCTTCCTACTTTCATAAAACTTCTGAATGTCTTGCCTCCAATCAAACAAAATAACAGCAAGTCCATGAAGCCTATTCTCTTTTCAATTACTAGACGAACCATCAAGCAATCCACTGACTCTTAGAAATAAGGAGTCCTTATCTTCTTAGCTTGCCTTCAGACACATGAAGAAACCTCATGGGCATTAGCTGGTTCTGTGGTGTGAATTGGGGAAAAAACCAAAATGTTTGACTTCAATATTTGGTCTCAATACCACTCCAGACTGCTAGTCTGCTAGTGGTAGATTCACAGAATAGCGTGTTCCTCTATCCGAAAATGAAATCTCCCTGCATATGGAAAATAGCATGTCAGAGAACAGAATTGTAGCCTACCTTTGTTTTCCATGCCCAGCTAGTTGTCTATAGACAGAAACTGTTTATTTTTTTGCTCACTTACTTATTTTATGTAGGGCATTCATTTAGCGTCACGCAAACTGGTGGTTCATATTAAAGGTTTCTCCAAGTAGCCTGACAGCCATGTACCCAATACAGCGTTTAGTAAGGCTGTGAAGATTCTTTGAAAGAAGTACTTTGCAGCAGGAAGGGTTATGCATAAAGCATCTTCCATGAATTATTAAAGCACCTGCATCAGTAATCATTATTTCTTCCTTTGCTTATACAGCAGTTTTGGGAGCAACTTCTGAAACAGCCATGCAGTCTTCCCAAAGCTACATCTACTTGATATTTTGGATGATACCTCCCATTATCTTTAGCCAGTGGTCATGCTAGCTGTGGCTGGTGGGAGATGTAGCTCAAAACAACTGGATTCAAGTTAGAGAACATTGCTATTGAGATAAAACGGCAATCAGACATTTGGCAAAAATAGAGCTGTACTTTCTCTTCCAGGCAGCTACACCTATTGGATCCTGAGTCTAGATTTGAATTTGCATACGTTTATGGTGTTATGAATAATTGTTAAACAAATACAGAGGTAGTTCTGACAGCCAAGAATTTGGGGCACATAAAACACAAGAAAGCAGAAGCTTTGATAGGAGACAGCCCACTTCAACAGGTGCATCGGACCCCAAAAATCTTAGATTTTGTATTTCTCTATGGTGCTGTTTAGTTTTGTTGCAATGGCATAATGAGTCCAGTGGAAATAAATTTAGGAGCATCAGATTAATCTTATGCAAAATGGTTTAGATCAGCAGGATATCTGCCCTACTCTCTTACTGTCCATTAACAAACTAGAACTGCAAACTAGAAATGACTTTCCTGTTTCGAGGTCTTTGTTTTTTCAAAGCACCTGCCATTCTGAGTGTTTTTTTCAACCCTCAATATCATTGCAGGTCTGAAAGGAGCCCCTGGTCCTCAAGGCCCCAAAGGCAACATAGGTGCCCCTGGTCCAGCTGGGGCCAAAGGGTCAGTGGGTGAAAAGGGAGCAAAAGGAGATGTGGGAACCAAAGGTAAGTCATGAGTCCTGCCAAACTGCAGTCTGTTCAATTTAGAGCATTGCTTTGGCTGAAAAACACTTTGTAAAATCCTTGTGTTGATCTGATTTGCAAATAGGTTTATGCAACTCCCAGTTTCTGGAAGTGACAGGAAGCAAGAGGACAGAAAGCTCTGAAATTTAGACAAGGGGAAAGAAGAACTGAGAAAAAAAAGGGGGGGTACTTTTAAAAAGAGCAAACAGGGGCAGGAAGCAATCAAACTCTTGCAAAAGATTTTACATTCTTGCAAAACCAGAATGGAGAAATAGATATTCTAGCTATGCAAAAAAAAAAAAAAGGAGGGAAATGTATTTCTCCAGGCATAATCAAGAACTGGAGATTTGGGTGGGGGTGGGGGTGGGGGGTGTTATTGTGTGTTGTAGCCTGCCTAATGCAAAGGCCAGACTCAGTGAAAATCTGTCTACAGACAGCCTCTAAACAAGCATTTTTACTAGTAAAGTTCAGGAATAACACAAGACCTTGGACCATTTCTGTCAATATTTCTGTGTGTTCGCTTGTAGCATTAAGCAAGGTTTCCCCAGCCTGGTACTTCCAGATGGGTAGACTGCAACTCCCAATATTCTCAGCAATGGCTAAGGCTGACTGGGGAATTATGGGATTTGAAGTCCACACATTTAAAAGGTGCATCAGTTCTCAACAGCAATAAGCTGTGAGAACTAAGACAAATCTCTGCAAGTCAGAGGAAATAATACCCTGAATTCCAGCTTTTTGAGCACAAGGACACATGTGTGAGTGGCCACTCTTGGAAATAGGATGTTGAATTTACCTGGACCTTTGTACTGACCAACTTTTGCATCTTGGGAGAACTAGAGAATTCATCTAAAAGGAACAGGAAAGACATCACTGGGGAAAAATGGTTAAGGAAATAACACACTATGTAGCTCTGGGGAGTGGAATTGTCATGGACAGGTACTCTGCATTTTTTAAAGGATGCAGGGAAGGGGAAGAGGAGGAATTATTGATGGCCAATGCATAAAGCTTATGCCAGTCAGGAACTGCTTTGATGCAGAAAAACTGTTAATATCCACCTGATGAAAAGTATCTATCCAGAAAAAGCAAGCAATCCTTTGACTGGAAAATCAAGGCAGTGATATTATAGGATTACCAGATCTTGGACTGCAAGAACTGTTAGTTTCCTCATCTTGACAAGGTCTGCCAGCTGCTGAGACTAGAACTGTTCAAGTCAAGCCAAATGCCTAGTGATTCTCACATAGGCTGAGTATAGAAGTAGTTGTCCTTGACTTCTTCTTGAAAGGTTTTCTCCCTGTCCCAGCATTCTAGCCTGCAACCCTGATCTTCCCTCATGATCTTCCATCCAGCTACTAAACAGGTCCAACCCTAGGGTGAGCAGTTCTGGGCTGCAAAAAAAGTAAGTTTCCTACATATGTCCTCTTGCTTCCATCTCATTGTCATCTGGAGTTTTGCAGCCCAGATCTGGTAGCCCCACTCAAAAGGTTTTGGAGCCCAGAGCAGTAGCAGTGTTTGAGAGTCTGCTGCTATATGGTGTTGTGCCCATAGTTAGTTTTGCTGTGAAACACAGATGTTGGCACACCATTTGCTTTGAGATCCTAGCCCTGCGGCCTGGGAAATGAGCTCTCACCTAAGAATATCAGATGGTTGTGACAGGTTTTGGTGTCTTCTCCTTACTCTTTTTCTAGTTGGTGGCTGCCTGTTTGATTTTTTGTTTTTTGTTTGTTTTTAAACAAGTTGGCCAAGCTAGGTGGAACCATCAAAAAGCTAGGCTGGATTCAACATTAACTGAATTCCATCAAATTAGGCAATGGCAAATTTTGGATTATTGCCAAGAAACTACATAGATGTGCCAAGTATTCGTCAGGAGTTGAGTTTGATATTAAGGAGATTTAAGTTCTAGCAAGTGGCAGCATCTAACCAACATTGATTGATCTCAAAAAGCTAACTGGCCCTGACTCTGCTTAACTTTTTGACGGCATCCACCAAGAAATCCCAAGGCTGTAGACTTGACTGAGAAGTTGGAAACAAACCCAGAAGGTGGAAGTGATAAGCCACATCAGTATCTTCGCTGAGAAAAGTACATGAGCATAGGAACTGAGCTGGACTCAAGGGAGATTTAATTTAAAGAGAGTTAAGAGGTTCCCACCCCACTCGTGCACTCCTTAAGAATCTCTTAAAGCCTTAAATATTCATACGGATAGGAAAGTAGGAGAACTTTCCTGACTTGCTGGTGTGATCTCTCACCATAGGACTGCAAGGCCCAGCAGGACCACAAGGGCCAGTGGGGAAGCCAGGTTCTCCTGGATCCAAAGGAGATAAAGGTTCCATTGGTGATAAGGGGACAAAGGGTGATAGCGGCCTCTCAGGTAAGTGAGGTGAATGTTGCCTGCTTGTTAACGATTCATCTAACAAATTTTGGGAGAACATTTCAAGTCGGTCCTTTTCACGTCACTGTGAATGAATCCCTTTCAGTGTTCTTTTCAGCAGGGATGTGGTTGATATTTGAGACCCAGTGTGTTTAATGTTTCTATCAACCTTTTGTCACTAATGCATTCATGCTGGTAAAGGGGAGGTCCACCTATATTTCCAGCAAGGAAAAGGCAAGTGGGAGGGGAAGCCAATGTTTGGATTAGTCAAAGATTTTATGGCAGTGTCTTCCTATTCATGATGCTACAGTCCAACAACTTGCAGATTGTGACCCTTTTATTCTCTCTTAGAGGTCAATCTTTTGAAGAGTAAAGTTAGTGCCCTGGAGGGACAGCTGAAAGCTCTGCAAGCCAATTTTGCCAAGTACCAAAAAGGTAAAAACAATGTATAGAATATGCAAATCACTCTGGATGAGTTGGATCTCTCAGCAAAGAGTTGGTGGGCCAGGACAACAAGACATGTCTGCAGATCTACTGCAGCAGCACCCATACGTCCCAAACTAGAAGACGTGACAGCATGTACTAAGAGTTGGGAAGGTGCACTGTATTTGCAAATCATTCACGAACATGAAGCTGCTCGACCGCTTTAATCACTGGGGTTGTGCAAGTGTCAAAGGGATGCTTCATTTCAGAGAAAATTCATGAGAAACACCCCTTCCAAATAGTTTTATGGAGCAATGTTGCCCTTCAAGGCAGCCTCTTGCATTTCCAGTAGGTAGAAGAAACCTGTGTGCAAGGACAGGAGATGAGGCAGAGTGAAATAACACAGCAATGAGAATTGCATTGTTTCCAAGGCAAAGCCAGGTTTTTACACCTAGTCCTATCACTGCAGGAATGAATTATGTATGCTTATCCTAATGTACAACACAGTCGACCACATGAATTTCCAAGGAAAGTGTCAGCTGCTTTCTCAGAAAATAATCCTACTATTTACTACAAAAGCTTAAAAAGAAAGAGTAAAGAAAGCTGATTTTATTTTTTAAATAAAATATTCCTGCAATTCTGATAGGGTTTAGACATAACTATGGGCTCACTGTACTTCTGGACAAACCCCTGTAGATTTTCCAAGGGTGGGATGACTGGGGAAAGAACACATTGCCAACAGCAGTATTTTAAGAGGCAATGACCCCTTCCTACGGCAACTTGATCTTGCCTCAAATTACACAGTGTAATGATTTACTATACAATGGCTGATTTTGGCCCTGACCTACGAATACACCCTTTTTTGTTCATTCTAGTCGCAACATTCCCAGGTGGACGCACAGTTGGCAATAAAGTATTCAAAACCAACGGCTATGAAGGCAACTTCGAAGACTTGAAGCAAAAGTGTGTGCAGGCTGGAGGCCAGCTTGCAACCCCGAGAAACGCTGCTGAGAATGATGCTGTCCAAAAGGTGGCGGCGCTCTATAACAAATCGGCGTTCCTTGGGATAACGGACTTAAAGACCAAAGGCACATTTAAGTACCTGAATGATCAGCCCATTACTTACTCCAACTGGCTGCAGGGAGAGCCCAACAATAATCAGGGCAACGAGAACTGTGTAGAAATCTTTACAAATGGGAAATGGAATGACAGAGCCTGTGGGGAAAAAAGGCTATTACTTTGCGAATTTTAGGCCATGTCATGCAACATTTGACCCAGGGAGGCTCCCAGGTTTTAATACAATATTTGCTTCTTATCTATAGGGATTAAAGAAATCATGATTTAGCTAATCCTTCCTAAATTCTAGTGAGGTAGGACTGTTGATGTCATGCATGCAATCAAAACAATTTTACCATCAAGGCCAGTTCCCATATAAGCCACCTAACGAAGTACAATTGAGTTAGAACCTTTTCCTACTTCTTTCAATGGTGAGAAGTCCCGGGGAGATATCTCTAAAATTTCCTTTAGATCAGACAGCCAAGGAAGGCTTGCTGTCACCTCTGTTTTAGTTACAAATATGCAAGCAGAACCTGCACTTACATACTTGTAAATAAAGCAGTCGGTTTGTAAAAGTAGAGCGCAGATTGTGCTGGTTTCTGGAGATTTCATCCCAGTGGGGAATCTTTGCCAGTTCAAGGCAAATGAGGCTGAGGCAGATAACCTAATTCAGTATATAACAGATGATATCATCTGTTAAAGGCTGAAGTACACTAATACCAAACTGCTAATGTTTCTTTAAAAAGTTGGGTATGTCTACAGACATTCGAAATGTCCATAACTACATAAATATAATGGTAGTATCCAAAGATTTTGATATTAAAGTTTTTTTAAAAAGGAAGTGAAAAATTACATTACAAATTAATGTAAAATAAGAAGAAGAAAAGAAAAAGAAGGAAATCAAAGAGAAAGCTAAAAGTGCAAGAAAGGGAAAAAAAAAAAGAAAAATAGAAAAGAAAGAAAAGAAAGAAAAAAGATACAAAGAAGTAGCTTCCAATCTTCTTCACAA